AAAAAACCAAGAATAAAACTCAAAGCTATGCAAGATACCAAGGAAAAAGGAGGATTTGGTGTACTGGACTGGGACCTTTACTATACTGCGGCCATTTTAACATGGATAAAAGAATGGATAATGTTGAGAAACAAAAGATTACTCAAATTGGAAGGACATGACCTCCAAGCAGGATGGCATACCATCCTATGGTATGAAAAAGGATCTGTACATAAGTATTAGGTTAGGGCTACAGCCATCCAAACTTTGGAAGCAGGCTCTAAGTACCTTGGAGGGAGGACTCTTGTAACTTTGGTTTCTAAGCAACCGGTCATAACTCAAGGACTACCTGTATATAACCCCAACTGACAGATTTTTCTATAACACTTCAGTCATATAATTTCATCCCTGAGATTCACCCATAAAGTAAGCAATTTGAACAAGACGGGAGGGAAAAGTGAAATAAAGTCTTCATAAAACTTAAGTTATATTTTAACAGCCACCTCTTTATGCCTTGCCTCACCCAACAATTCTCTGCTTAGGTTCCCAAATGCCACCTGTGCCAGAAATTAACCCTGACTAGTGAGAAAACAGATGGTTACCTGTATGTAATCTAGGACTTGTTGGTGTCTTAGTTTAGCAGCAGCAACTTCACTGTCTGAAATGGCTTCCCTCAGGGACTGCTGAGTGCTCAGAAAATCTAGCTCTATGACAGCGGAAAGGCGGCAATAGAGGCTAATAAATTTTTCCTTGTAACTGCAAAAATGAACTGCGGAGACAACAAAGCACATAAATAAGTGTATTAAAGAGGGGACCCACAAAGACTTACCTTTTGAAGGGGCTTAATCAAGATCAATTGCCATAGCTTACATTATTCCCTGAAAAACAAAGGATTATGCGAAGAGCTAAAACTACAGAAGGGTTTTCACTGTTACAGTGAAAACACAAAAACATCATGTAGGGCCTTAACATCAAACAGAATTACGTGGCTTAAACTTTTGTGGATCAAAGACTACCACAGGTATTAAATTAGATTAGAAGGCTACAAAGAAAGCGGTCATATATCTCACTTACATATCTGGCTGTATTTATTGTTATACTTTGACAGAGGTGGGCTCCTACTGGTTCGGCTGAACCGGTTGTAACTTGGCTGCCTAGGTCGCTGGAACCAGTAGGGATCCAGGCCTGCCACACCCACCCACCCCGAACTGGTTCTCTTGGCAGCACCATAGATGCCACCATCTTGTTTTTGCCTTCTGTGCATGCCTAGAGCAATTTTTGTTGCACTGCACACGTGGGCGCATGACACGTCCCTGAGCGAACTGGCAGTAGCATCAGCCAGAACCCACCCCTGTACTTTGGATGTACTGAAGATCTGCCTTGAAATTTTACAAAGTGATTTCTCATCATTGTCCTATATTTGGTTTGCCCTATCTCAACTGCATTGTTCTACATTGCCAATGGCTCACTAAGCATCTCTGCATCTTACCACATTTAAAAGCTTTTGCCACACAGGCTCTATCTGTTAAGTCCTTACAAAAGGTCAAAGTGATTTTTTCTATTGGACAGTTTCCTGTCGATGCAAAGCAGGGGTGTCAAACTGACAGCCCATGGGCTGGATATGTCATGCCAGGCCACACCCACCCCAGCTTTGCAAATGGGAAAAAACATTGCAAAATGTCATGTGATGGCAATGTGACACCGCAAGTTTGACACCCGTGATGTAAAGAGTATGCAAGCTTCAAATGTACATAGAAATCTCAATCAGGCAGAATGAAAACACAAGCAAGAGTATGCTTGGGCATAGACGTTCATCAGAGAAAGTCAGATCAAGCTTCATAGACTGAAAAATGACCAGGGGTTATTCATGCATCATTTGAGTAAAATCTACAAAGTTGTGTTGATGTTAGCATAAGCTTAAACTCATCAATAATCATTGATGAGTTTATGCCAATGAATAACTGCTTTGTCTCAGTTGTGTATCAAATGAGCAGTAAATGCCATTCTATATTGTACTTGATTTCTTGGGCTACGCTGCACAACTAACTCAAGGACGACATTGCTAAACAGTCCTTCCATGCTTTATTATGGTTAAAATAGTCAGCATCCATGGATAATAGAAGTTCTAGTCTAGAGGTTCAGTTCTATCTACAAGAATTTCCTACAGATGAAGATGCTGGGCCATAATATTTTTCTGTCTCAATAAGACAAACACAACGTAGTGATAATTAAGATCTCAGCCTACCCAGAGTAGCAATTATCTCATTACAAATTCATCAAGTCCTTATGCATAAGAAAAGACCAAGATGTATAAATGTATTCTGAAAGAATCGGAGTTCAGCTAAATCATGGATCAAAAAAAGAACACTGGATACGGTCATAGACCATATCAGACTCTTTGGTGTCATCCAGGATGTGTTAGAATAAACCCTCATAATTCTCAGCCTATACATCTGGAAAATACCAGGTTAATGAAGTATTTGGACTTAGATGAGACTCATCTAATTTGTTAAGGGTTATTGAACAATAATACCTCTAGATTCTACTTGATGAAGAGTTTCATGCAATTTGAAAATGCACAAATGTTCGTTACATCTACAGGTACTGGCCCAATACAAAAATATCACCTTACTCAATTGTGTATACCTTTCTGAATATGGATTTTCAATTCTGGTTAATCATGGTGCTTTCCCCCCACCCCTCCCAATAAAACTGAAAAAGAAAATACAACAGCAATAACAAAAATTGAAAGGGTGCAAGTTTACATTTCTGTTCATGTTGCATTTATAAAAAACATGTTGCCAGATCTACATCTTAGATGTGATCATATATTGATCAGAAATGCTCCAATAAGCATTATTTCTGTCTCCACAATAGAAAGGAATACTGCAGACCTAAACCTGGGCCACCCCCTCACTCTTTGATCATTTTCTGTTCTGAACAATTACTAAGGCAACCATGAAGCACATCCTACAGGTAATTATGTGTGTTTCTCCAAAGCTTTCTCAGATAGTATCAGCTCTACACACGCTGGGTTCTTCTTGCACAAACTGTAACCACTGTGGGTTAATACTGAATGTTTATTCAGTATTCAGAACCAATGATATAAGGAAAAGGCTTTTGCCACACACTGAATTCAATCTCCAAAAAGGTTCTTGCCACACACAAGAGCGCAAAGTCAGCAGCATCTCTGTGCAGCTTATTAAAGCAGCTTTCTCAGAAACATGCCATTGTCTTTTACAGGTGCTACAGGATCCAAGGAAAGGATTAGGCTGCTTTAAGAAGTTTCAGACAGGTGTTGCCATCATGCTCTGTGGACAGCTAGGGAAGTTTCTATAAAAAGCTTCTCAGTGTCATGACAGCAGTTTATGTTAGCTGATCTAAATGTAAGTTATGTGTTTTTAACAGAGCCATCTTCTCAACAAAGAGTTGAACTCAACTCTCCATTGAACAAAGAGCCTCTGATGAAATTTTTTTTAAAATATTCACTGAGTCACCAACATACTCTATTTATGAACTTTTAAGATCAATGCTGTATGTTTAGGCTCAGTCCATATTTTGCCTCAAATCATCCCACACTGAAATGCCCGGCATCTCCAGAAACAACTATTAAAGAATCCCACTTAAACTCTCGGCAATCCACTTCTAATCAGCAATGTCAAAAAAAAAAAAAAAAAAAAAAAAAAANGATAGATAGATAGATAGATAGATAGATAGATAGATTAATACTTTCCTTGGTTAATTTAACTGAATAATATGTCTGGAGTGGAGACCTATCATAGAGATGCCAAATCCAGTGGGAAATGTAAGACAGCCACTCTGAGTTCTTTAGGGAGCTCTAGCTTACAGTGGTGACTAAGTCCTACTGAATCAGAAACAGTGGAAACCTTGTGCCTTGATGAAAGAGGCGACAATATTTTCCCCTTACCAGCTTTTCTCCTTGGCATCCCCATCTCTGGGGAAGGAGGTGGGGATGGAAGACAGTCAAGATGGGAGGACGTAGAGCTTATTTTCTTCTGCAGGGGCTCCTCTGAGAGATCCAGAATTTTCACGAGGGGCAAGCCAGAGGTTGTTGGTCTGTACCGTGCATACTGCAGTGCTTCATTGATCCACCTCATTTCCCGCCAGATCTCATCAATTTGCTGCATGAGGAAATAATACAGACATATTTTCACAAGCAACTCTTGCTTTGACAACTTTAATTGATTTCAGTTAACTGCAAGAGAAAGATAATCCTAGTAGAATTTGATAATGATCTTCAAGATGAACTGCCTTCTCATGCACTCAAGATTTTTGACACTGAACCTTCTCCTTCCAATTTTCCAGACCACTTGCATTTTATTTGCATAATTAATTTTGGCCTAGCTAGGAAACCAGAACAACCCCCAAATTTCTATGAGTTCTGACTTTCTGAGGTATTTTGGAGAGACAATGTGTTTTTAAAAAAATGTTGAAAAAAAGGTCAGAAGTAATTATGTTTCATAACTGGGTTTTTTCTTCTCTTGTTTATTTCCTGGCACCTCTTTTTCCTCCCCCCTCCTTTTATATTTGTTTTTTTACTCTATGAAAAATCTTCAAAATAACTGATTAAATAAAATCAAGTATCAGATCCTGGACATAATTTAAGGTATTAATTATATCCTCTGCATATAATTATATCCTTTGCATATAATCAAGCATATCATATCCTACATTTCTTGGAAACGTCTAGCACAATTCCTTAAAAACAAGGAAGATGTGCACATTTGTCACTTGCCTATAAATAAAATAGAGAAATTAATCAAAATCCTCTAAACCGGGGTGGGTGGGTGGGGACTCGCGTCATCACGTGATGATGACGTATCATGACTTTTTCTCCCTCCACTAAACCTGGTGTGGGCATGACCAGCGCATGATGCATCTAGCCCGTGGCCTGCGAGTTTGACAGCCCTGCTCTAAACCCAAACTTAGGAGGGAAAACATGGAAAGCAAAACTCAAATTTGTAAATACCGGTAAATAATGGAACATTAACATACTTTAAAAAAACCTTAGAACAACTATTGATTGGAATAGTGTTCACAATAGTTTTCAAGTTTGTCATACGGTGCCATGCTTTTCTGTTTGGGTTTTTAAAATTTTTGTCACTTCTTTAATACGTGTTTTTTTCTTTTTCTTTTGTAAACTAGCTATTTGCCATCCAGAGTCATGGGCAGCCGTATAAATTTTCTGAATGAATAAACAACCAAATAAATCTTTACCTCTCATGTGATCTTATCCAATCTATTTTGATGGATGTAATAGAACAAAAGTACAACTACATGATTCTGATTCTGTCTTTAAAAGTGTCTTACATATGCTGCTGCACATTTAAATGAAGATTTACTTTTAAATTCAGCTTTGGATATTTGTTTTATCTTAGTAAATCCCGATAAAAGTTCTTTTCTCAAAATTCCATAGCCTAGTTTGTTTCAACGTATTCATTGCCTATATATAATTTTTTACTATCTAGTTTCTCACCAGTTCCCTGTTTCTGAACACCGTTTATGGACTCCTTGATTCTTTACAGTGTTTGGATTGTATAGTGACTGACTTAGATCTGGGATCATACAAATGTTCTTGTGGTTTTGCGGTTGTGGCTGAAGATTGTGGTATGTGGTGGAGTTGAATTAGTGTTTCTTCCCCCGCCCTTTTCTGCTGCCAGTAGGTGGAATGCAGCTGGTTTTCATTTGAGAAGGAACCTGACAGGTCCAATATGCTGTCACAGTAATTTGGTACAAACATGGTGGTTT